AGGAACTCTTGGTCAAACAAGAGATTGAAGTGCACGAGGAACCACAGGGAATGATGGAGGAACAAGTAGAAGTCAGGACAGAAACAAAAGATGGCAAACACAAACACAAAAAAGAGAGGAAAAAAGGAAAAGAGAAGATGAATCAGGAAGACAACAGGACAGAGGAGGAAAGGCTCTGGGATGAGACGATTCTTGGTGTTTTTTAGACTTTTTTTTTTTTTCAATGATGGTCTGTCGGTATTGTTCTAATTAAACTGCACGAGACCTCAGAAAAGCGTTTTTCTGAAATCCTCTGGGCTCTTCTCAATATTTATGCTTTCTGAAGAACTTTGAAGGCCTTTCAGAAACTCATCTGCTCTAAATTCCTTGTTAAGGAATCAGAAGTGAAAATTTTGTCATCATTTACTTACCCTCATTTCATTTCAAACCCATATGACTTTTATGGAACACAAAAGTAGATGTTTTTAAGAATGTTCTTGCAGCTTCTTTGCAGTTCAGTGAATGTGAATAGAAGCTGTCATTCTCCAAAAATGACAAAAAAGCAGAAGTCAATACAACTTGTGCACTATATTTCAATTATTTTGATTTTTGGTGAGGTACAGATCAAAATTGATTCAAAATATTGGCTGAAAATAATGCTGCCTGCAATTCCACATTTTCAACCTTGCTGTGTCGTGAGCAGAAATGTGACATGCAAAAAAACTACAGCGTTTGTTAAAAACAAAGCAAAAATCTAATAGCTTCAAAAGACTTTATATCGCACAAGTTGTATGAATTAACTGACACCTTTAAGATGCTTTTGCCATTTTTAGTGCTTGACAACATCCATTCACTTTCACAGGGTGGAAAAAGAGCAACATGAACATTATGCTAAACCTCTCCTTTTGTGTTCCAATGAAGAAAGTAAGTCAGGCAGGTTTGGAATGACATGAGGGTGAATAAATGATGTGAAAATGTTCATTCTTTGAAATGCTTAGGACTACCGACTTTAGGACGTCTCTCTAGAGCTGCACTTCACTCTTGTAGAAATCACTAATATTTTATACCTTGAGGTGTGATGCAAAAACACTATGTTAGCCATGTCCATGTGGATGTGTCCTTCAACCTGCTTCATGCTTTGATCAAATAAATCCCTCCCGCTGTTTATATCAACATAGATTTAGTATTTATTGTTGAACTTTTTCTAAAAATCTAAAAATACATGAACCTTTCTTTATGACTCCAGTTTTGGTCTCAAGGGGGCGCTGAGTGCCAGCATGTACGCTTTATGTCGGTGGTCTCAAACTCAATTCCTGGAGGGCCACAGCTCTGCAGACTTTAGCTCCAACCAGCTCCAAATCACATCTGCTTGGAAGTTTCTAGTGTGATCCTGAAGACCTTGATTCGCTGGATCAGGTGTGTTTGATTAGGGTTGGAGCAAAACTGTGCAGAGCTGTGGCCCTCCAGGAATTGATTTTGAGACCAATGCTTTATGTGGATCTGCTACAAATGTCTTTCAGACTTAGTCTCTATGTTCAAGAAAGACATGAAAACAGTAATGAACAGCGAGAATGAAGTGAAGAGTTGTCCGAATAGTGGTCAGATCAGCATATTGTAAACACTTCCCTGAATCCGAAGAGCTCAGTCTGCAATCCTTGGTTTTGTGTGAAATATTTTTGTTTGCACGACTAACAGGTGCAGGAGTTGAATGAGGACACAACTGCTACTCTGTTGCCCTCTTTCTTGCATAGAGCTGCATTTCCCTTTTTGATAGTTAACACACAATCATGCAATCATCCGTTTATTTAATGACTCTGCTGCTAAACCGATTTTCAATGTCTCCATTAAACAATCCTTAACTAACTTTTGGAACACTTTCTGACTGCTCAGGGAAAATACTGATTGTGGGAAGATGAATGTGGATGTGTTTCAGAGGAAATGATACTTGAAAATGCTTTGATTATGTGTTCTTTATCACATTCGCATGAAAATGAGATGGTTCAAGCTGAAATGACGATTTTGTCATTTACTAACCCTCATGTGTTCCAAACTCATATGAGAGTGGGGATGTGGGCTGGTAAGCTCCAAAATGACAAAAAAAAAAAAGCTTCATAAAATAATCATGAAAGTTGTGTGCTGTCTTTTTCTTTTTTTTTTTTGTATGTCATAAACAGACCAAAATTCATTATTCAGAGAAAATGCCTTCTGCTGTCTGGCTTTAGATGCAACGTGAGACTTGACATCAGTGAAAGTCACCAATTTCAAGGCAATTTCCAATATCAAGGCAGCCAGTTTGAAAATGCAGAAGCACAAGTGATATTATAAGTGACTGTAATAATTGCCTAATAGTTTTCTGTCTCCTTTTTTTGTCATTTTAAAGACATGCTGGATCCCTGGTGTTACCTTTCAATATATAAAATAGAGTAGCCTAGTACATTGTTCAATAGGTTGAAAATAATATATATTTTAAATGTTTTTGAAAGAAATCTCTTATCTTTACCAAGGCAGCACTTAATTGATCAGAATACAATAATATTGTGAAATATTATTGCAATTGAAAATAACTGTTTTAATATATTTAAAAATGTTTATTCCTTTAAATTATTCCTTTTTATTCCTGCGATGCAAAGCTGTATTTTCAGCATCATTACTCCAGTCTTCAATGTCACACGATCATTCTAATATGCTGATTTGAGTAATTCTAAAAATTATAAGTAGTGTAAGGTACGTAGAACATGGTGGTGAGTAAATGGTGGCAGAATTTTAATTTTTGCATGAAATATCCCTTTAATTTGCATGCAGGATCAACTCTAATGTTTGTAATTCTACTAACCATGTTTTGATCTTCAAATGCACTTGTATTAAATTGTGGATCTGACACTTGTAGCTTCTCACACAGCTTTTGTACTTCAGAACTATATGAACTTTTTTCCAAGTCTTTGTAACCGCAGAGTTGAAAGCCCTCCGTAGACACAAACTCGTCGACAGTCGCACTAAAGCGTTCTCTCGAGCCCCCTGAGATCTCCTGTTTTCAAAGAATCGTGTGGTTCGGCTCCCTGTGTCTTTGTCGTACCCTCGACCTCCGAGGCGTGTGCATCTCCCACATCCTCTCCTCTTCACGACCCCTCCACGGGCCCATGAGCCCCTCCAGCCCTCCTTGAGAGACGAGGGCCAATGAACGCGATCTCTAACACTTCAGCTCAAAACTCCCACACAAGCCCCTCTGAGCCTCAGGCTCCAGAGTCCCACACACTCAAAAACTTCATTAGTGCAGTTTATCTCGAATATGGAATGGAAAATAAGCACATTGATTTTGAGTTGAGAAATGTTGGGCTTCTGAATAAAAACCAACAATTTGACTTTGTGGTGCAAAAACGGGCCTGCAGTTTTGTTCTTCGGGGTTGTTCGGAGTTACTGTCATGATGCTATGGTGGAATTTTCAGTGCATATTAATGAACAAATCTTCATTCATTAATTATTATGAACGAAATGTGTATGTCCAGCCTAGAGGCCTTGGAATAAACTTATTGTGATCTGCTCTATCAATAAATGATTTCAGTGTAAAGCGGTTTTACACTGTGAAAAAAGTGTTTTCCAAAATGCATGATTAATCAGAGTTTAGTGTAAGTGCTTTTGTTTTTGTTTGTTTAGTTTGACCTAACTAGTAATTCAGCCAAAGTGATATGTGATTGAGTAGATACAACTGTGTGCATACAGTACCATACAGATTTTTTTTTTTTTTTTTGGAAAATATTTTTTAAATAATATCTTTTATAGTTTTATGTATATTTTAACATCTTTATTTTAATGTAATGCTTTTTTTATTAATACGTTTATGCATTTTCAATTTTCTTCATCAGTAATTAAATTCAAAGTGGTTGTAACTTGTTTCTGCTTTACTTTTACTTTTTACGGCTGCAAATATTTAAGCATTTAAACTTAAGACATGTTGCATGATCATGCATTTATATGGAAGATATCTGGGAGAGCCTTATGGCAAACATTTTGGGGGCATAATGTGACATGATAAAAAGCAACACTTCGAGATGAAATGTATTTTGTTTTCCACAGCGCAATGATGCTGATTATATGGCACCATATACTTTTTCACTATTTATTTGGGTATTGATTAAGTGATTTTATAGGTATTATCTTCATTAATCAGCATTGGCAGTGTGTTTAGTTGAATGTGATTAATTTCCGTCTTACCTGATATTTATCGCAAGTGTTTTTATATTATGTGTTTGATTTGATGCAGTGCCAGCTGTGGTGCTCTGCGGACAGATGCAGGTGTTTCTCAGGTCACACACCTGCATTTGGGTTAAAGATCATTTTAGGAAAGACGTTTAGGGTTCAGCAAACCTGTGTGTTTTGTTTCAGAAGAACAAAGTCCTTTAATGTTCAATAACTGTGAAAATAATATAATGACCAGTGGATTTTTCTAGTTTTGTAAATATGTGAAGTCCTAGCTATTGAAATTGATTGTCAGATGGTTTAGCTCTCAATTGTGAGTTCATAAATGCTTGCATTTTAACTACGTCGGTTTAAAGCCGCTAAACCTCTAACTTCTCCAACAACGTGTTGGTTAAAATATATGCTGACGTCTTCAAAATGCCTATTAAATCAACTCTACTCTCTATTACTCTAAAACATAATTAAAAAAGCTAAAATGGATCTTAATTTATATATTATTAACAGTGCATTGGGAAAATCAGCGTAAATGTTGTCACTCTGTACGCTGAAATATGAATTTGTACTTCAGTGTGTGGGCTTATTAAAATAATACCTTTCAATGCTTTTGCGTGTGCAATAGTCAATAGCTGCTATTTTCTTGCTAACGAAACTTGAAATTTGTGTATTTCTGAAAAGTCTCCTGATTTATCCTCAATCTTTTCTGTGTTTCCTCTGACTCATTCTCTGATAGGCTGTCAGTAATTGGTTCATTGGCCCCACACACTGCAGGCCCTCCTTTCTGTGTCACACATGAATAACTGAAAGGAAAACACAGACACACAGTTGACAGCTCACACACAAGACACCCAAGGATGACCCTCTCTTGCATGTGCTTTTGTTTGTTCGTATGGATGGCAGGTAAGAACTTGCCTTTGCATTATATTTTAAGAGCTGTCAAACTTTTAATGCGATCCAACCTGAAACTTAAGTACTACAGTAATATGAGCTCAGCGTGAGGAAGTCTGCAGAAGTCAAAGTAAATTGATGACTCTTTTGTTTGAATACTGTCATAAATGTATGTTTCGTCCTGTGAAGATGGTATTTTTAAAGAATTTTTTCAACTAATGTATTGTGACGGTATCGATGCTGCGCTGTAGGCCCAGAAACGTTTGGCATCCTTAGGCAATTACGAGATGTCTCGAGTTTTAAAACATATGGATTTGATGCAACTGTTTGTATATTTTGCTAACACAATACTTACACATTTAATAATATATAAAAGTTTCTGAAAAGAAACAGAATATCTATCAAAGGTGTGTTATAATGAATTACAAGCCAGACTCAAGTCGCTCACACTCAAGATTATGTGGAATAACAGATCGATCATTTGCATATAAATATATTTGAATGTAAAATAAATATATATCTGTATTAATATATATATATATATATATAT